ATCAAATTTTGCCAAAGACTCGCCAAAACGGCTACGGAAATTTATGAAATGCTAACGCAAGCATTGTTGGGATAGGCTATGGGGCCTGTCAGCTGATTCTAAAGGAAGAACTCCACATGCGACGCATCCTGTCTGAGGCCCAGAAGCAGAATCGACTTCTCGTTTGTCAGGAGCTCAAAGATCTTGCAAGAACCGACCCCAGCTTCCTTTCTAAGCTCCGTGTGACTTCTTCCTCTTTCCAAAGATGAAAATTCAGCTAAAGGGATGGAGATTTGAGACGATAGAAGAGATTCAGGCAGAATCGCAGATGGTGCTTGACAGGCTGACAAAGAAAGATTTCCAGGGATGCTTCCAGGCTTGGCAGCGGCGCTGGGATCGTTGTGTTCACTCCCAGGGGAACTACGTCGAGGGTGATGGATGAATTTAATACCTGAGATAAGTGTACGGGTTTTTATACGCGCAATCTTGAAACTTTCCGATCGCACTTCGTATAGTATATTGAAATTAAACAAAAGTTTTGTTTTTTAAAGTAGTTGTCGGCCCCGGTACAAGTCCAATTTTGGGCCCCCGTCGCCATATTGGGTATGCCAAGTGGGTCCGATGGGTCTGGGTCGACCTCCATTGCACTCTCCATCTCATCAGCAACGAAATCCACATCCATACTTGACCCAGGCTCGTCAGATGCCGCCTGAGTTGTCAGAGCGCGCTTACGTTGCCTATATTCGCGGCAGTACTGCGCGTTGGTTTTGGGTCTGGGCCCGGCGTTTTCGGTGTCATTCTCTTTGGAATTTTGTGCTCTACGCATTCGTGCCCGATTTTTGTAATTCTGGTTGTACTTTGCCCTCATATATCGCGACAATTTAAGAAAATCGGGAAATTTTCAAACTTTTTCAAATTCACAGCGTCGTATCATTTTGAGTTTTTGAGATACACACTTGGAGGCCAGGATGAGTGTCGAATCCGGAATGTCGAAAATCGTAAGTTCACTTTGCGCGTGCGCAGTTCGCGACGTCCGGCCGCCACTAATGTCGGAGCGGTATTGGCACAAACTTTCATCCTTCCTCTTTAAAACGAGACTAAGATGGCGGCGCTATGTGTATTTGTAGCCGAGGTATTGAAGTTTGAAATTACTTCGACAGAAACTGTAGCTCATTTGGGCGCGATTGCCTCCCCACACCCGGCATCGATTTTAAAAGCGTTTTCACGTCAAAATCATATAGTTGTGTGTCACTTTCATTCAATAAATTAAATTTAAAAGAATACAGGTTTTCATTTGACTCACCCTCGTATAAGTGCTGGATTTCATATTCTCAGAGCTGAGCACAGGAAATTGAAATAGAATGCGAAGTGTAAACAATGAAGTCACTACACATAAATAATGCTTGATAAGAAGAATGAATATGCGTATGTCAGTGGTGGATTGCTTTATGCATCAAAAATAATTAAAAAAATATGATTTCCTACTAGGAAAATTGAATATTTCTTTTATAACTTTATCAGATATAAAATACTTCTATTCTAAGTAAATATGACATCTACTCACCCGATGGTATTTCTTCACTATATGATGTATGGCAAACCACTTGGTGTGGAATCCTGGCTTCTTTGTACACTTGTCAGAATAAGACGACTTTTATCTCCTGCCTCCTTTCACTATTACAGGGTACAACTACGATGGAACTAGTGGAAAGAATAAGGCTTCAATGACATCCTGACACAGTTTGCTAGTACAAGTTTGGCTACAGGTCGCCTAAAATTGCGTAAAATGCATGGCGGTCTCATTCCGACATCGGAACGCAAAGGGTTAAATTATTTACAGGTGCCATTGAAAGTCATAAAATAAAAGTTATATAACCTAGAGATTTATGTTTATGCAAAATATGTGAGCATTTTTATTTATAAGTTATAAAATGCATGTGTTAGAAGGCAAGGTTCTAAATTTCATCTTTGACATTGAGTCTCAAGATATGTCTCTGCTTTCAATTTCATAAATATTAAATATGCATTTTCACTACTTTTGCACATCTTCAGTTTTTACTAGATACTGGCACAACAGATATTGAATTCTAGCACAGCATAAACAGGAGTGTGCGTCATTTTGTGGTCACTATTGTGATGGGAGCTTTACACACAACCGTTAAAAATTAGTGATTTAGCAAAGAGATTCAGAGATTTAAGTCGTTGCCGTGTTTATGAATTTAAATATACAAATATATTTTTACAAACAATCAGTTTCATAGTTAAAGTTATTATTCAGTTAGTTTCGGAATAGATAGAATTGAATATAATTCCACAAGAGCATTTCATTATTATTTTTCGTATTAGTCATTGTGACACTTTCTAAACGCTAGTATTCGTACATTTTGAAAATCAATCTTCAGAGTTTCATAATTACATTGCAGACAACTAATTTCAGTACAGGAAGCCCTGATTTATGCCTGGGATGCGTTCCTGGAGGAACCGGCGTAAATTGAAACTCTTTATAATGTAAATTATTGGGAAGTCAATGACATGCGTTCCTGGAACCCAAACATTGATGAGTAATATAATGGCATTGCATTTGAAGCTCTGAAATAACGTAAATAAAATCAAGGGAATTTAAAAAAAATATATTTTATTCACTTACAATCGGCAATTCGTTGGTCCCCGCGATTGACTGGGATTCTTTCATGTGACTGATGTGTACAGTCATCTCTGCTGTTAAGCGATAGTTGCATTCATGTAAGACGCCGACCTATAGAAAATCGCGTAGTAAAAATAACCCCGGTACCTTCGCAGAGGTTAATTGAAAGTTCAAAGCGCCAGGAATGAAAATGCATAAGACCAAACTCGCATATGCAAAAGTTTGCATTTTACAAACAGCTTTTACCGATTCATCGATCTCTTTGGAGCAAATTCGCGTTAACGACAGAAACGAAATTGCAGAGATGATTGTATTTATATTTTTTATTCAGAATCGGCGATGTAAGAATTACGATTTAGTATAAGAATCAGTACGAGAAACATTGTAAAACGTTATTAATAATAGTAATTTTTTTCACTTTTTGACTTGCTGGTTACAAAATCGGCGTTATTCTGAATCGGCGCAAATTGAGGGCTACTTGTACACACATTTTTCACGTGTTCTGTTTGGTGCTTTAGAATTAGATAGAAGTCTATGAGGTAACATACCTGACCATATCCTTCATATTGATTTTTATGTAAATATTAAAAGTAGTTCAAATTTATTACTAACGAAAAAATTATGTGTGGCACCACTTACTTTTATTTAGACTACAATATAGAGATGTAACACAGTACATTGCGTCTGTAATGTAGATGTTTGAATTTGTACATACCGTGATCTATTGTGTGTTGCTACTGACTAGTACATATCAGACAGTGTTATCAGTGTGTAGAGTGAAGTGCAACTGTCATAATTTTTTCTCATTTCTCATGATAACATAATTCCAAAGTCATCATGACTTGGTTAGATTATGACAAGTGAGTGTTACATCATTGAATCATCATCTTTGTCCTTCAAAAATGCTTAATGTTACATGTTACATAGGACTTTGGACTATTGCCGATTTTGGCTGTAAAGCCTAATGGGAACAAACCACTCAGAAGATGACGAGAAAATCCCTACAAGGGAAAGTCGTTTCTGGTCGGTGCGGGGGGAATGTTACTTATCAGCTGGACTAGAGGGCTGCTATTGTTGGGAAGTGTGATACGTCACAGTTTAAGGCTACTACACACAGACTGAAAACATCAAGCAGTTGAGATTAGCGTGTAGTGAGCGCACCTCCAATGTGTTCTGCGGGTGTTGCAAAAATATTCTAGATTAAATCACTGTGCCGCTGTGAGGTAATCTTAAAGCTGTACCCATTAGAACACACGAATGCCTGTCGTCTGTTGTTGGTTCAGTGGTTGTGGAACGAATGCTTGTAGGATGGGTCGTCACTCACCACGAAATCTTGCGCATGCGCGTATATCGAATACCTAGCAGGGATTTTCTCCTGGTCTGCGGACTGTAGGCATACATAGAAGAATAATGTTAAAATGGATCTTATGGATATAGGGTTGGAGGGTGTAGATTGGATTCATCTACCCCAGGACAGGGACCAGAGGTTGGATCTTGTGAACATTTTGTTTTCATAAAGGAGTTTTCCTCCGGGGGCTTCCCCGGTTTCTTCGTGGCATCCCAACAATTACTCCATTCACACACAGAAGAAGGCAATGGCAAACCACTTCTGGATCATCTGCCAAGAACGTATATGAACAGGTCCCAGTCCGAGAAAAGGATGGAAGGATCCTGTTCATATGGACCTGTCGTCAGACAGAACACTAAATAAAATAATAAAAGGGTGGGGAATTTCTTAGGTAGTTGAGTGTGCAGTAAGATTCTCAGGAAGGACGCTGCTCCATGAAGTTATTTGTGGGTGTGAAACTTGGTCTCTGACCTAAAGGAAGGAACATAAGTTGAGTATATCCGAGAACTTTATACTGAGAAAGTTATTTTGACAGCAGAAAGGAAGTAACAGATGCTTAAGAACATTACACAGAGAGGAGTTTCATAATATTTGCTTCTATCCAGATAATAGTAGACTGATTCAACCAAGAAATATAAGATTTTGGGCATGTAGCATACATGTGAGATGAGAAATTTGTACAAAATTTCAGCCATGAAACCTCAAGTGAAGGCATGTAGAGCAGAAAACCTGCGTGTACTGCGGATCTTTCGCCAGAGGCAAAGTACATCTGGGGGCCATGACACGAGTCACCTCACCCTTATTTCGTGCTGAGGTGAAGAATGAGTAGGCGCTGTACCCCCTCACACCCTGAGCACACCCATGGTATGTGCTAGGACAGCTTTAATTTTCTACGGTTTCTTTCATGAAAATCAGGATGCATCATCAAAGACGTTTCATACTGGATAAGTGAGTATTTTATCTATTTATATATGTATTTTATTACATTGGAGCAGCTGTTAAACCTAAAGTTTCAGCTCCGCCATCTGTCCTTTAGTACAGGGGAGATGGAAGGCAGTTATTCATCTGAAGGGGCTGATAAAAATCATGTAAGGTCTGAGGAAAGGAAGGAACCAAAATTTGTCCTCAATATATCAGAAGAGAGATCTCAGGTTCTCACAGTGACTAGTAAGAAGGTGACCTTTTGACGTAAATACGTCTATAATTTAGGGTCAGTGTCATTCGGCAAAAAGTGTAGCGAAAAAGTGTAACGAAAAAGGGGAACGAAAAAGTGTAAGATAGTTACCTAGGAAGCATCATCTGTTTATCAACAAATAAACAAGAATGGTTACCTAGGAAACTTCATGTTTATTGCTACCTACGAAACTTCAGCTGTTTACTCAACGTTATTGTTACCTAGGAAACGTTACTTCACATTGTATTACACTACTTTCGTTATTGCGGAAAGAGCTGAGCTGTGATTCGCTTGTACAAGAAGTGCGTCGTGGAGTAGATAATTTTGTGCTAGTTAAAACGTTTTACAATTTCACAGGTACTTATCTTATATAAGAGTTATTAAGTAATCTGTTATTGCCTTAGTTTGTTGCGTCATACTATGTACAAGAAGGATGACATTGAAGCTAAAAGACTCCATAACGCAGAATACAAGAGAGAGCAGAGAAAACGTAAAAATTATAAGTATTAGATAATGAACCTAGAGTTCCCGAAAAAATACCAAATACTAATGCTGAACGAAAATGAGTAAAAACATAGAAGTATTAAATAATGAACCTAAAGTTTCTAAAAAAATTCCAAAAACTAATGCTGAACGTATGACGGAATTTAGGAATCGCAAGAAGCAATTACTACAAATTAATGCTTCCACATATTAGCAAGTACAAGCGTTCCTACAAGAATCGCGCAACCAAGGTGTGACAATGCAGCAGAATATTTTCATAAGCATGTTAATGAAAATAGATTTGGATACGCTTGCAATGTATGTGATCGGTTATGGTTTGAAAAAGATTTGAAACAAGTTACTGATAGCCATTTATATTTATTGGGTACGGAGTTTGTAAATGAAAATGTATCCCAATTTAAGGTATGCACAACATGTTGGCTGTCTTTAAATAAACAACAAATACCTATATTGTCTAGGAGTAATGGATTGTGTATCCACCATACCCCACTGATTTGCCTCCTCTATATTGCATAAGCGAAAGATGAATATCTCCTAGACTTCCATTTATGCAAATTAGGAGGTTAAGACATCAATTGGGTGCATTTGAGATACGGGACAAAGCCGTAACTGTAAGAAGTAGACGCAACTGGCTGTGGAATTAACGGCGTTTAAACTAAGTATTACATTCCAAGAGTGTTTTTGATGTAAATACGTCTATATTTTCGGGTCAGTGTCATTCGGCAAAAAGTGAAACGAAAAAGTGTAACTGCATTGTTATGTTACCTTGGAAACGTCAATTCTTTATTTGGCGTTATTGTTACCTAGGATACGTTACTTAGCATTGTGTTACATTACTTTCGTTATTCTGGAAAGAGCTCAGCTGTGAATCGCTTGTAGAAGAATTGCGTCGTGGAGTAGATAATTTTGTGCTGGTAAAAACTTATCTTATATAAGAATTATTAAGTAATCTATTGTTGCGTTTGCGTGTTGCGTCATACTATGTACAATATGGATGACATTGATGCTAAAAGACTCCATAAAGCAGAATATATGAGACAGTACAGAAAACGTAAAGAAATAGAAGTATTAACTAATGAACCTAAAGTGCGTAGAAAAAACCTATCGTTTCTAAAGTCCATACCTAATTCTGTACACTACTGGGCTCAGAGGAAGCGAGAAGTATTTGCCATGATAAGGCAATTGGGAAAACCTACCATGTTTTTAACAATGAGCGCAAATGAAATTCGCTGCCCCAGATTGCTAAATGTGCTGCATCGCTTAAAACACGGTGCAGATGTAAAAGAGCCTATGAAAGAATTGTCATCTGTACAAAGAACTACTGAGGCTGAAGTGGACGAAGTGGCACTATCACATTTAAAAACGGGCAACTTAAATGTAAAAGATTACAATTCCCGTTAATTGAAGCTAGAGCTCTAACGGTTCATAAGTCGCAGGGTGGTACGTTTCAACAAATTGTATTCAACTACAACAAGAGTCTAGATCATCAGTTGTGTACGTTGCCCTGTCTCGCGTTACATCGTTGGACTGTTTGTACATCACAAGCAGAAACAACGACTTCGTGTTTTATCATGCCAAGGGAACAAACAACCCAAAGGTAGAGGACGTACGCACTGAGCTGAGGCGGTTAGAAACACATATATTGCCCACGTTCACTGCTTCGGTGAGAGCATTCATAAGGATTGCTGGTATTCGTGATCTAAAAATGACTACTCTAAACGTACAGAGTTTAAAAAATCATGTGCAAGACATAGCAACGGATACAGTGATAACTGATACCGATATCCTGGCGCTAACCGAAACGTGGATGCACAACAACGAAACTGTATATTTGGAAGGTTATAAATGCATCACGCAAATTATGCGTGAGGAACAAAGAGCAGGCGGAGTGGCTATGTACGAGAAACATGGAGCAACTACCATGGCTATCCCATATCTGTTGATGAAGCTACCTAAAGAAGATGGAGCAGATTACAGAATAGCTGCAGCTGAAAAGAGAGGAGATATTTGTGCGGCAGAGTGTATGGTCAATGGTGAAAAGATTTTAATTGTAACCCTATATATTTGTAACCATACACTTATTGATGATTATAAGAGATTTATTTTGAGTCATTTGAGAAATTATACAAAAATGTTTTCAATTATGGCCACAGAAGGTCCTAATACAATGCCGATAATATTGACAGGAGATTTTAACATTGATTTAAAGAAGGAGGAAAATCAAAGCTTTGTCGCATTTATGGAGGAAACGTTTGGCTTAATGTTGATGTCAAATCCTCAATGTAGTACTACTAGATCAAAATCTTGTATAGATATGGTGTTTGCACGAAATGTTGATACTCTAATGTTTACAAATTTTATAACATATTTCAGCTATCACAGACCAATATTAAGCGTAACTAATTCAGGTTAAATAAGGAATGTCTTAATCAAACTTATCTCAAGAATGTATAAAAGAAATATTTACAATAAAGCCAATATATAAACTTCCTTTCCGTATAGACGTATTTACGTCAAATTCTCCGGAACCGTGGTTCCACTATCACTTTTTCTGGAGTGTTAGACCATGCAGTCTGGGAGAAATTGGCATCGCCTTGAGCATGGAGGCAGTAAGTACTTTTGAAACATCGGTCAATTTCTACCAGACTACATGGTGCAACACCTCAGAAGACAGTCATCTTCTAAGTCAGGCGTGTTATCACAGTGACCATCTTTCGGGGTCCGAGTTTCATGTATGGTGGCAATGTGTGTCGCAGTTTGAAAAATACCACTCCACTGTAACCTACCTATTTCCTCATTCTTAGTTCCATAAAGAGACTTCTTTTCCTTGATCACCTGCAAAAGCCCAGCACATAAAACTGAGATATGATGGTTATGGAAGTATGAACATATTTTCAATTATGACCTTAAGTTTGCTCTGCAGTGATCTCTGACAAATCTCAGGCAGTGAGATCATTCTGAATGACGTATAATAAATTTAAATTTATCACTTGATACCAAAATTGAACAAAAATAGATGAATGCGGCAATGAATTTCATAATGGTGAGACAGCATTGCACTCATAAATTACATTCCTCCTTTCATGGGGAAAAAATATAATTTAATTTTCTAAAGTTTAAACATAACCTAAACATCATCCAGATTCAGATTTGATTAAATTGAAAGAAATATAAATTAGATGAATCAGTTCAGGAAGCCAGTAGATACCAAAAGCAAACCAGTGATGCTATACTTTCTCATGTAAAATATTTCTTACATCACGGCTTTGGCTTATGTCAGCAGAATTGTGATTGGAGATTACTTTACACCAAGGTCCAGAACTCAGTCTGAATAGAAAATCTGGGTGAAGCCAATGGCGTATCATCTGGAATATTGTCACCTCACTCAAACTGCAACATGTGAATTGGATAAAATTTGATGTTCTCATGGCAGTGACAATGTCAATGTCAGTGAGTTGTAACGCCATGTGGACTTGAGGGTAGATACAAATTTTTGAAAAAATATACTACCTTCATGTTCAGGATAGAAGATGGGGGCAGTATGTTCCTCCAAAATGTTAATATATGTTTTTAAGTCCATACAGTCCATGGATCGTAAGGGTATTTATTTTACAGTATTATAACATCTAAGAGGTTATATATAAGGCTTTTGTCCTACTGGGAAGAAAATTATATATGTTAGTAGTCTCTTATGAAGAGATTGAGGGTATTTGTGATGAGGGTGCTAAGGAAAATACTTGGATACAAAAGGGATGAAGTGACAAGATAGAAGTCAAAATTGAATAATGGGGAGCCTCATGATTTGTACTCATAACCAAATATTATTAGAATGATGACATCAAGGAAAATGAGATGGTTGGAGCATGTAGCATGCATGGGATAGATGTAAAGAAACAAATACAAAATTTTGGTTGCAAATGTTGAAGGCAAGATACTATTTGGAAGGTCTCATTAAAGATTAATAATGATATTAGAATGGATCTTAATTAAATAAGGTCGTGAGTGTGTGGACTGGATTCACCTGGCTCATAATTAGCGAACAGTGATGGGTTACTGTAAAACAAGGTTATGGATATTTTGGTTCTGTAAAAGGCAGGGGAATTTCTTGATTAGCTTCTCAAGACGGACAATGGAGTTAGTTGAATTTGTTAGATTTTAGATTTCATTTGGGCACTGTATTAAGCTTTACCACATTTGTATTTTCGAATGTTATGAGTGCTAAGGTCGTATCAGCAGACACAGCTTGTAATATTACTGTAGAAATTGCCACTGGAATGTTATACCATGTAATCTGTTAGAAACTGACTGAAATTTCACAGCTTCCTCCTGCCTTTAACCCATAAGACAGCCTTTTTCATACTCATTGCCATAGGAACCTGAAAAATTGCTCTCCGTTTTTACCACATACAGTCTGGATGATGATGATGATAATGCCCACTCACTCGTATACTGCAGAGATGTAAGGCGACTCTAAGTCTTCTTGTGCATAAACTGGGATCCCCATTGTAGTTTCTGCAACATAGTCACACTTTCTGTAGTTCAACCACTCAGTCCTTCAGAAGCATAAAGTAGGACCGTGCGGGAGTACAGGAAAGGTAAGGGTTCATTTTCGTGTCTTTTCCCACCGCCTTCAAAACGTTAAAGCAAAAGTAAAGATTTAAATGTTGACGTAAAAGTGAAAGTATACTATGAAGGAAATTAGTGCATATCGGAGAGAACGTATTATATGTTTGCGTCTTTCACCTCTGAAAACAACTGACTGACTCACATGAAATTATGTACTGATAGTCTGCAGTGAATGCTGACTGAAGTATTATATTTCTCAACTTGAAAAACATGTTTAAACTAATGAAATGTGCATTACTTGTGTAACATTCATAACTGTTTAACAAAGTTATGGACATTTTAATGATTATTTAGTGATTAATACATATTTATTCTAAAGGATCTTTGTGCCTTATTTTAAGGTATGGTCTTAGCATTCAGCGAAATGACTGAGGAAAACCATGAAACACAAACTTGCTAGCCTGAATTGAAAGAAGATATCTGTAATAACCTGTTCTGTTATAAATGTTGATATAATTTTCTGTTTTATAAATAAGAGATTTTTATAGTGTTTGAGAAGTTGGAAAATATAATTTACTTAAATCTATGCAGTCGACTTTCATAAATTATAGCTTCTGCACGCAACTCACCACAGATAATGTCCAGAGCACAGAGGGTGATGTAAGGATACACGTCGAAGTACTGAGATCTGACTTCCTTCTGCAGAATCCTGTCCAAGATCTTGAAGTGGAAAGTCGGCGTGATTATCTTCCTGTTGGTGTGCCATTTCTGACCTGGTTTTAGAAATTAAAGAACCGATCTGATTATTTAATGATATCATGGACATGTGTTTTTAGAGAGACTTGGTATCAGAAACCCACAGAGAAAAATTGGGTTTGATTTTAGCTGGAATATTGTCACCTCACTCAAACTGCAACATGTGAATTGGATAAAATTTGATGTTCTCATGGCAGTGACAATGTCAATGTCAGTGAGTTGTAACGCCATGTGGACTTGAGGGTAGATACAAATTTTTGAAAAAATATACTACCTTCATGTTCAGGATAGAAGATGGGGGCAGTATGTTCCTCCAAAATGTTAATATATGTTTTTAAGTCCATACAGTCCATGGATCGTAAGGGTATTTATTTTACAGTATTATAACATCTAAGAGGTTATATATAAGGCTTTTGTCCTACTGGGAAGAAAATTATATATGTTAGTAGTCTCTTATGAAGAGATTGAGGGTATTTGTGATGAGGGTGCTAAGGAAAATACTTGGATACAAAAGGGATGAAGTGACAAGATAGAAGTCAAAATTGAATAATGGGGAGCCTCATGATTTGTACTCATAACCAAATATTATTAGAATGATGACATCAAGGAAAATGAGATGGTTGGAGCATGTAGCATGCATGGGATAGATGTAAAGAAACAAATACAAAATTTTGGTTGCAAATGTTGAAGGCAAGATACTATTTGGAAGGTCTCATTAAAGATTAATAATGATATTAGAATGGATCTTAATTAAATAAGGTCGTGAGTGTGTGGACTGGATTCACCTGGCTCATAATTAGCGAACAGTGATGGGTTACTGTAAAACAAGGTTATGGATATTTTGGTTCTGTAAAAGGCAGGGGAATTTCTTGATTAGCTTCTCAAGACGGACAATGGAGTTAGTTGAATTTGTTAGATTTTAGATTTCATTTGGGCACTGTATTAAGCTTTACCACATTTGTATTTTCGAATGTTATGAGTGCTAAGGTCGTATCAGCAGACACAGCTTGTAATATTACTGTAGAAATTGCCACTGGAATGTTATACCATGTAATCTGTTAGAAACTGACTGAAATTTCACAGCTTCCTCCTGCCTTTAACCCATAAGACAGCCTTTTTCATACTCATTGCCATAGGAACCTGAAAAATTGCTCTCCGTTTTTACCACATACAGTCTGGATGATGATGATGATAATGCCCACTCACTCGTATACTGCAGAGATGTAAGGCGACTCTAAGTCTTCTTGTGCATAAACTGGGATCCCCATTGTAGTTTCTGCAACATAGTCACACTTTCTGTAGTTCAACCACTCAGTCCTTCAGAAGCATAAAGTAGGACCGTGCGGGAGTACAGGAAAGGTAAGGGTTCATTTTCGTGTCTTTTCCCACCGCCTTCAAAACGTTAAAGCAAAAGTAAAGATTTAAATGTTGACGTAAAAGTGAAAGTATACTATGAAGGAAATTAGTGCATATCGGAGAGAACGTATTATATGTTTGCGTCTTTCACCTCTGAAAACAACTGACTGACTCACATGAAATTATGTACTGATAGTCTGCAGTGAATGCTGACTGAAGTATTATATTTCTCAACTTGAAAAACATGTTTAAACTAATGAAATGTGCATTACTTGTGTAACATTCATAACTGTTTAACAAAGTTATGGACATTTTAATGATTATTTAGTGATTAATACATATTTATTCTAAAGGATCTTTGTGCCTTATTTTAAGGTATGGTCTTAGCATTCAGCGAAATGACTGAGGAAAACCATGAAACACAAACTTGCTAGCCTGAATTGAAAGAAGATATCTGTAATAACCTGTTCTGTTATAAATGTTGATATAATTTTCTGTTTTATAAATAAGAGATTTTTATAGTGTTTGAGAAGTTGGAAAATATAATTTACTTAAATCTATGCAGTCGACTTTCATAAATTATAGCTTCTGCACGCAACTCACCACAGATAATGTCCAGAGCACAGAGGGTGATGTAAGGATACACGTCGAAGTACTGAGATCTGACTTCCTTCTGCAGAATCCTGTCCAAGATCTTGAAGTGGAAAGTCGGCGTGATTATCTTCCTGTTGGTGTGCCATTTCTGACCTGGTTTTAGAAATTAAAGAACCGATCTGATTATTTAATGATATCATGGACATGTGTTTTTAGAGAGACTTGGTATCAGAAACCCACAGAGAAAAATTGGGTTTGATTTTAGGTTCTAAAGCCTTGTATCGACTGCGCGCGGCTGCCTCGCGCACCTGTTCGTGCGCGGCAAACTCGTTCATTCGCTCATTGTGCTCGTGGTTACCAGCATCGAGCGCGGCAGCCGTGTTCGGCTACGATCGACGCTGTTCGTCAGTTCTCGCAAGATCACCATGAATACAACACCGTGAAATCCCTTTGCCGCGGGACAAAGAACCGCTCAGATTTGGCTCGACGCGAGCCAAGTTCGAGCGCGGCATTGTTCGGTTCTGCCACACGTGGCAACATGGTATCGACTTTGCGAGGCAAAGCAACGAACATTGCCTCGCGAGGCAGCCGCGCGCAGTCGATACAAGGCTTAACAGTAGCAAGCATGATGGCCGTCTTCTGGGATGGTGCGCCGTATAATCCAGAAGAATCTGACTGTTTCATAGGTGCAGCTTTCTCCATCAGGACAGTCGTCTAACAAGAACAAATTAATTTTGGTCCTTATTGTGAAGCATAATCCCTACATTACATATAATTCAGATTGAATTTTATGCTTCTTATTTTCTAATGTTCACTGAATAAAGGTGGATTAATTTGTTTCAGAATTAATTGTTTTCCCACAGTGATAACTGCCTTCTTAATCGCAGTCTGGAATATTGCTGTTCAATGGAACTGATTGCTATTACAGAAATTAGGTGTTTTACATGATGACGTAAGCAGCCCTGTTCCCAGCCAGTGGTGCAGAAAATTGTAAGTGAACGTCTTGTCCAGATGTCTGATACTGCTTAGGAACGCCTGAAACACAAGCAGACTTAAAACTACTTTTCGTTTCTTATCCCTTCATTGAAGACAGCCATTTGAATGGTGTCCTACCCTGCAGATAGAGGTTATCTAAATCCCATGTACATTAAGATGGTTGTTTTCTGGTATGTTGCACCATATAATCTGGTAGATATTAACTGACATTTCAGAGGTGCTTATTGCTTCCATCAGTACGGCAGTCTGTGAGACCACACAACGCAACAACCTAGAGCACATCCATCTTCGTCGTTGTTCCCATGAGAAACTGAAATCCCATCATAGGATTTGACATTTTCATGACAATGAGTCTGAAGATGAATGTCTTCTGGATTGTTTCGCCGTGTAATCTTGAAGAAGTTTACGGACGTTTCAGAGGCCCTTGCTGCCTCCATCATCAGTTGAAATCTCATCCACATACCTGGTACATACCAAGTATAGAGGCAGATATTATGGGATGGAACTGAGGTATGCATCACATAGAGGGTCTGGATTGGTTTCATGATCCCCGAAAATTCATCATTATATTGAAAATTTCACAAAACTGGGCCATATTTTGAGACATGTTAATCCAGTTTCTACAATCATACTTACTCGTCAAAGGTCCATTTTAATTCCCTTGAGGTTTCTCAATGAAATTCTTCCGTTTTATGCAAGTTATAAAATAAAATCAAACCAGTTCATAATAGTAGTTAAATTGATACAGCTTAGTGGTATTTAAATAGACCAGCAGAGATCCGTAGTGGTATTTAAAAGGGACTGCAAAGGATTAGAAATACTCGCCAGGGTTTGTACTACGTACCTCACAATGTAACATTTCACAAGTGCACAAGGAATGTTGTGTTTACAGGTATAATAATTATTATTAAGTGTTCTGTCTTACGACAGGTCCATTGCTCTGCCCAAAAAGAGCTCTCCAGTTGTCCCTATTCTCAGCTTCTCGTTTTAATTCCTGGAACGTCATCTTCTTTCCTTGTTTAAGGTCGTCGGTTAGCTGTATCAATCTTCTTCCTAGTCCTC